GTGCAGTTCTAATGATTTTATTCTCATTGCTGTATAATAATACATCACCATTGGATAAACCACCAAACAAATAAACCATTTGTTTATCCGGTCTAGTGTGGACAGATGTGTGTGTTGTTTTCAGTTCTCGGTTATTAGGAAGATGCTGTGGAAGTTCTGGAACATGTACACGTGTGCACAATCCCGAGTGGGGAGTTCTGTAGGAGCAGAATTGCTGGATCGTGGGGCATGTGTATGTTTACTGATAACTGATGACATTGAGCACTGCTTTGTACGTTCGTGAGCCATTTAGATATCCTCTTTTGGGAAGTGCCTGCTTAAATCTTTCGCCCATTTTTAAATTGGGTTGCTGGCCTCTTTATTACTGATTTTAGGAGTTCTTTGTATTTTCTTGACACAGGTTCTTTGTTGGGTACATTTATTGTGAATAACTCTCCCAATCAGTGGCTTGTATTTTCCGAGTGTATGTTTTGCATCTCTAGATCCAGATTTTAAAACCTCTGCAAACACACAGGATTCGCCTGGTTGCTAGGGATCCCAGACAGCAAACATCACACCTTGTTTGCAGTCACAGGATTGCATTCCAAGATGATGTAGCCTCTGGGGAGGTGCCTGGGTCAGGACTCAGCCACACACAGCAGACATGACTCTGACTAGTGTGAGCAGAAGGCTGTGTGGCCAGGGGCGGGGTCATTTCCCACTCGCTGGGAGGGCTGGAGGAGCGGGCTGGAAGGAGTCAGGAGCAGTCTGGGCCCCCAGACTCTCACCACCTCTGCTGTGATGGGGCGAACTGCTGATACCACTGCAGGGAGCCCTGGAATCGGGGGCTGCCAGAGCACACGCCCTCTGTCGCAGTTCCTGCCACCACGATGGATGCCTTTCCTCTTGCTCACTTTCACATTTAGGTTTTGTGTGAATGCATGTCGTCAGTGGAAACTGATTCCTTGGAATCTTTGATGCAGGTCGTTATTGGCTGTCTAGCCACTATGGTGTCGGAAGAGGGGAAACTTCCGAGCAGGACGGGCAGCTTTGGGGCAGGGCTGCTCCAGTAAGGAGAGGAGCTGTGCGGGTGCTGTGGTGCTGAGTATTCTAGGCGGGAACTGTGTGGAGGGTGAGGTGCAGCCCTGTGGTTGGTGTGCTCAGCTGATGAACAGGCTCAGCTGCATGTGAAGTTCCAGAAGGTCATTCCTCCACCCATCTGTTCAGCCATTGTGTTTAGTGTCCTAGGCTGCTGTGATAAAGCATGAAAAAGTGGGTGGCTTAAAACAAAGGAAATATATAGTCTCATACTTGTGGAGGCTAGAAGTCCAAAGTGAAGGTGTCAGCAGGGCTGTGCTCTCTCTGAAGGCCCTGGAGGAGAGTCTGTCCCAGGCCTGCCTGGCCTCTGATGTTGGCTGGTGATCCTTGGCATTCCCTGGCTTGTAGATGCATCACTCCCATCTCTACCTCCCTCCTGTTTCTGTGTCTGTTCCTCTTCTTATAAGAACACCAGTCTTATTGGACTAGGGCCCACCCTAATGACCTCATCTTAACTTGATTATATCTTCAAAAGCCATATTTCCAAATAAGGCCACATTCACAGGTGCTGGGGGTTAGGACTTCAATCAATCTCCCTGGGGGGCACAATTTAGTTCACTTTTATGCCCATCGTCAACCCAGGCCTTGGCTGGACCCTCTCCTTTGGCTGCTCCAGATCCCTGGGCTTTCCCAGAGCCACAGCGCTCTGGGTTAGCCTGACCCTCCTCCTAGTCTGTGCTTGGCAGAATCCCTCACTGTTTGAGACACTGCTCCAGTGTATGCCTTGACCCCTCTAGGACAAGAAAGGGTCATTCTGGGCTTCCCTGGTGGCGCAGTGGTTGAGAGTGCGCCTGCCGATGCAGGGGACATGGGTTCGTGCCCCGGCTGGGAAGATCCCACATGCCGCGGAGCGGCTGGGCCCGTGAGCCGCGGCCGCTGAGCCTGCGCGTCCGGAGCCTGTGCTCCGCAACGGGAGAGGCCACAGCAGTGAGAGGCCCGCGTACCGCAAAAAAAAAAAAAAAAGAAAAAAAAGAAAGGGTCATTCGGTTTCCTGAGATTTAACCGCCAGCAGCTTATCCTTTCATTTTGATTTTAAAGCCAACTTTTAACTGATAACCGATATGTATGTAGCATACAATATATTGTATGTGTGTAACAGACACATAGAAAAATAGGTAAATTACAAGAGTGTAACTCAATGAAGTTTTATAAAGCTACACCCCCTTTGTTTTGAATTTATTTCCCTCTGCTTATTAAATAGTACCTTGCAATTTATGGGCCTGTCTCTTTCACAAAGCGGAATGTCCTTTGAGGCCAGAAAATGTGTCTTATTTACCTTTATATCTACCACCTCTCCAGTTTCTAGCACAATTCCTGTATATGGTAACCCATAGGAAGTACTTGCCAAATTAGCATTTAGAAGATCGGAGAGGAATTTACCAAGTGAAGCAGAGTCAGCTTGAGCAAGCATTAAACCGAAGTCTCATACAAGGCTGAGTGCTTTGCTCCAAATTAGTAGCCTTTGTCTTTCTATGTGTCTGAGTTAAAACTTGTTGCCTGTCAAATTTTTTTCTTGCCTGTGGACATTTTTGTGTGTGTGTGAAGGTCCTCCAGAATGCATAGCCCAAGGCAAGGATTAAAGAGTTGACACTTTCCATCGACAGATGAATGGATAAAGATGTGGCACATATATACAATGGAATATTACTCAGCCATAAAAAGAAACGAAATTGAGTTATTTGTAGTGAGGTGGTTGGACCTAGAGTCTGTCATACAGAGTGAAGTAAGTCAGAAAGAGAAAAACAAATACCATATGCTAACACATATATATGGAATCTAAAAAATAAATAAATAAAGTGGTTCTGAAGAACCTAGGGGCAGGACAGGAATAAGGACGCAGATGTGGAGAATGGACTTGAGGACACGGGGAGGGGGAAGGGTAAGCTGGGACGAAGTGAGAGAGTGGCATGGACATATATACACTACCAAATGTAAAATAGATAGCTCGTGGGAAGCAGCCGCATAGCATAGGGAGATCAGCTTGGTGCTTTGTGACCACCTAGAGGGGTGGGATAGGAGGGTGTGAGGGAGATGAAAGAGGGAGGAGATATGGGGATATATATATATGTATAGCGGATTCACTTTGTTATAAAGCAGAAACTAACACACCATTGTAAAGCAATTATACTCCAACAAAGATGTTAAAAAAAAAAGAGTTGACACTTTGAGAGATGCAGTCGAAGGGCAGTGAAGCAGAAATGGGGAGGGGGAAGATGGAAGTGGCAATGATGCAGTGTGTTTCCTTTGCTGGATGTCACTTCACAGCGAGCGGCAGAGACACAGCGGGCCTGGTGCACATACTCCTCCAGAAGACACACGAGGAGAAAACGCACCACTCAGCAGTCCGCAGAGGCGCAAGTGGAGGGAGGATGTATCTTCCCCATTCACTCTCATCTCCCGTTTCCCACTGTCATTTTACGAGAGTCCAGAAGTGGAGGGACATTTGGGCAAGGAGGAGGCACCGACTGAGAGATAGAGGGAGGTGGTAGAGGGAACCTGGGGAGGTGCACAAGGTTTGTGTCCAGCACGCTCCACACCTTGCGCTACTCAGGTCCGTGCATGCCTTCATTGGTATCTGCTCTCCCACTGCAATGGGGGGACCACCACCCTCTGAGAGAACAAAGACACGTTGACCCTCCCTGGGAGGGGACGTGGCGAGTCTAGTCAGCGACAGGGTCCCCTTCCTGGTGGCCAACTGGGGTCGCCTGGAAGACTGAAGCAAGAAGGTTGTGAAACAGGCTCCTTCGGTGTTGCTGTGGCTCGTCCTGATGCTGTGGTCGACATTCATCCTCTTCTTCCTCCACCACCCCTTCTGAACCCTCTTCACTCTCTGCTAGCACCATGCAGATTTTCAACTGCACAGGGGGTTGGGTTGTTCAAGGGTCAACTGCATATCATCTTCCCTAAGGAATGTAACCAAAGCAAGAGAGAATCAGAAACAGTAGTTCAAATGAAAGATAAATGTCTTCCTGAGTGTCAAGTCATCTGACTTTGGAACTGGTGGAAGAGTCAAGGAAGTAATAACAGATGATGAACAGCCAGGGAGTGTAAGTGAGCATTAAAGAGCAGCAGAAGTGCCAAATGAGCTCCGGCACTGGCAGGGTTACGTGCTGACCAGTTGCTCTTTCTTTTCCCACATCCTCTGTGGAAAGAGCTTTGGTACGTCGTGGGGGAGGGTGGGGTAAGAGTGGTGTCTGAATTTCCTTTGAGTGTCTAAAGGGGTGAGTTAAGTAGATACAGTCATGATAGTTGGATCTCACTTTTCAGACACTGGTCACAGTTGGAAATGGCCCACACTTTAGTCACCTCCGCTTCTCTTTACCTTGGTTCCATTAGCTCCATGACCTTGTAACCAGCCAAGGGTCAGTCCCTTGTCTCAAGGGGTACTGTGTCAGCCCAGCCATTGCCTTCATCTCCTGGGGCCAGAGGAAAATGGTGGCATCCTTGCCCTGCAGATCTCAGTTCCCAGGTCACTCCTGGCAGTGTGTGTGGGGGCCTCCAAGTCTACCCCCTGGGGTTCCGGGTCTCTAGTCTCAGTTTGAGTGGCAGGTGCCCACCCTGATCCATCTCTGTGGTTCTGAGACTTGGTGGAAAGAGCCTGGGATGGAGTCAGGGGTCTATGCTGCCTAGTAGGACGCTGGCAGTCACCCCTCTCCATTTCCTGGTATCTGCAAGGGCTCAGACCACAGCAGGCATGCCCTGTATGTGGCACTGACACAGGCCCTCCTCCCTCTGCCACTCTCCCCACTGAGACCCCCCCCACAAGCCAAGCCCCTACCAGTCAATCCCGAGAGGCCTTATTTCCCATCTCCCGTGCCAGCTCCAAGGGTCTGAGATTCCAAGGATGTGCCTTGAGGCTTTTATTCAGTCTAGGACTATTGAGTTTGGGAGCCTCACCCCATCCCTTCTCTTGCATCCCACAGAAATCAGGGTGAAATGGCCCACACCTGCCGTGGCACCATCAACCTGTTCACTGCGCACTTTGACACGGAGGACTCTTGCGGTATCGTGCTGACCAGTGGGGGCAGGACCTACCACCTCAAGGCCGGTTCAGAGGTGGAGCAGCAGCAGTGGATCACCGCCCTGGAGCTGGCCAAGGCCAAGGCTGTCCGCTTGATGAGCAGCCAGTCAGGTAGCGAGTGCTTGGTGTGGCGGGAGTATGTGCAGTGTCGTGGGTCTGGAGAGAGTGGGAACTGAAAGTGTTTGGAGGCCAGTGGTGACCAGGCTAGTTCAGACCAACCTCGGAAGGTCAGGGTGCGTGTTTGCCCTTCCCACTCAGCTCCGTGCGTCCTCAACAGTGGGATGTTAGGTGGTCAGGGTGGCTGGCAGTTCTCGGGATGGAAATGTTGAGGTGGGCAGGGCTGTGTGTGTCTTTCTTTGGACAAGTCTGGTTCCTGGGCTTCAGCAGAACTTTCGGATGCTGCAGTGGGTCAGTTCCAGAAGCAGAGTCGAGGTGGGAGACCAGGATGGTGCACTTGTGCCTCAGGCCAGACTTTTTTCGAGGTCCATTTGGAGATTGAAAACCATTTAGCCAGAGATGCTGTCTTTGCCAAGATGGAGGGTCAGCTCAGAAGTCCTGAGCAAGACATTTTATTTTTTACTTTAATACATTTTAAAAAATATGTATTGTCTTTATAAGATTCATAAACCAATGGTTTCAAAGCATATGCAGTGAAGTCTGCCCTTGACTCTTATCCCCAGCTACCCACCCTGTTCTCCCACCCAGGGGCAACCAGAGCTACCAGTATCTTATGTCTTTACATGTGTATTCAAATAAGTACTTATATTAAATTCAGTCCCCCACCTTGCTTTTTTTTCCACTTAGCAATAGTATATCTTGGAATTTTTTCCTATAAATACATAAAAAGCTTCCTCCTTGTTTTTACAACAGTACAGTACTTCATTGTATGAATGTACCCTAGTTTATGTAACCTATAGCCTGTTGATGAACATTTAGGTTGTTTCTTTAATTTGCTATGACCCGCCACGCTGCAGTGAGTAACCTTACATTTCATTTCAGGTGTGTACAAGAATAAATGAAACGTACGTCCCAGGAAGGGGGGTTGCTGGGTTGGTGGGACTGTGCATTTGTAATTCTGAGACACTGTCACTCTGCCTCCCACCTGGGTCGTACCAGTAGATGCCTGCAGCCCTCTGTAAGAATGCTGGCCTCCTTAGAGCCTTGCCCACCCAGAGCAATAGCAGGTTTCTGATGGGTGAAAACTGGGACCACACATACGGAGGGAAGGACTGGGAAGCTGTGATCCTTTTGAAGTTATAAGCACAAGGTGTGTGTTTATATAGACCTGTGTGTTTTTCTTTTTATATAAATTTATTTATTTTATTTATTTTTGGTTGTGTTAGGTCTTCATTGCGCGCGGGCTTTATCTAGTTGCGGTGAGCGGGGGCTACTCTTCGTTGCAGTGTGTGGGCTTCTCATTGTGGTGGCTTCTCTCGTTGTGGAGCACGGGCTCTAGGCGCTTGGGCTTCAGTAGTTGGGGCACACGGGATCAGTTGTTGGGGCACACGGGCTGTAGAGCACAGGCTCAGTAGTTGTGGCGCATGGGCTTAGTTGCTCCGCAGCATGTGGGATCTTCCCAGACCAGGGCTCGAACCCATATCCCCTGCATTGGCAGGCGGATTCTCAACCACTGTGCCACCAGGGAGTCCTAGAGTAGAGCACAGCTCAGTAGTTGTGGCGCATGGGCTTAGTTGCTCCGCAGCATGTGGGATCTTCCCAGACCAGGGCTCGAACCCATATCCCCTGCATTGGCAGGCGGATTCTCAACCACTGTGCCACCAGGGAGTCCTAGACCTGTGTGTTTTTTAAAGAGGCAGGGCCCCAGGTGAGAAGGAGTCACAGCCCCTGTTCTCCAGGATTGTCTCCAAGGCTGGTCCGGGAGATAGTGAGTCCTGTGGAAGGAGCTCTAGCACAAAGTAGGTGGAGGGGCTAGTGACATCAGTCATTGTGCCCCATACTCAGTCTCCCTGCATTGGGGTCTCTCCCCCAGCACTAGCTTCTCAGTGCACATGGAAGGTCATTGACTATCAGTCTGACCTTCTCTTTTAGTCTCACCCATTTGGAGCATGAGTCCCTCCATGATGACTCTTTTTCTTGGGGTCAGCACTCTGTGGCTTGGGTGTGTCAGCAGTGATGCTGAGCTTGGCCAGGGGTCCCCAGGGTACCACTGCATTTCCCAGTGAAGGAGGGTGTTTGGGGGCATCTCAGGTATGGGCTGTATTGAGACCCCCAGCAGGACCTGTGGTCTCAGTTTGGATGCTTGTAGCAAATGATGTAGCTAGTGTTGTGGCTGGGCTCGGGACAACTCCATTGGCCAAGTGCAGGAACATTGCTGGTTGTGGAAGAACTAGCTTCCTCTTAGTAGCTTCTAAGTAAAATCAATCAATCAATCAATCATTGCCTCATTTTTAGGAACTTCTTGAAAATAATGTAGCAGGTAGCACCTACTGGATTCATCATTCTGGAACAATTTTCCTGGGACAGCCAGCAGCAGGGGTTTCTTTTGCAGCTGGTATGGAAGTACTGTTAACTCAGCTGACAGTGCTAGGGATTGCTAGCCTGCACTTCCTCCAGGAGAGTCTGGGACCCCTGAGAGAGCAGCCTCAGGCGCACATTCCTTCATTTCATGTCCTTTAGGCGTGGTCAGAGGCTGGAGATGCACCACATGTCTTGTGTTCCCAAGGGGTTAGCCTTCTGGGTAAGGACACAGGACAGACATTCAGGTACAACTCAAGGTAACACATGCTACATGTCAGTGAGACGTGGTAGGATTCCTCTCCTTTTGGTGTCTTGAAGCACAAATAATTTTACTGAAGAGAAAACACATATGGCAAATAAGCACATGAAAAGGTGTTCATTATCATTAGCTGTTAGAGAAATACAAATTAAGATCACTGTGAGATATCACTACACATTATTAGAACAGCTAAAATAAAAAATAGCGATAATACTAAATGCTGGTGAGGATCCATCATAAGTTACTGGTAGGAATATAAAATGGTACAGCCACTCTGGAAAACATTTTGGCCATTTCTTAAAAAACTAAACATGCAATTACTATATGACCCAGGAACTACACCCTTGCATATTTATCCTAGAGAAATGGAAACTTATGTTCATGCAAAAACCTGTACACAAATGTTTATAGCAGCATTATTTTTTAATTAATTAATTAATTTTTGTCTGTGTTGTGTCTTCGTTGCTGTGCTCGGGCTTTCTTTAGTTGCGGCGAGCGGGGGCCACTCTTCGTTGCGGGGCACAGGCTTCTCATTGCGCTGGCTTCTCTTGTTGCAGAGCAAGGGCTCTAGGTGCTCGGGCTTCAGTAGTTGTGGCACGTGGGCTCAGTAGTTGTGGCGCATGGGCTTAGTTGCTCCTTGGCATGTGGGATCTTCCTGGACCAGGGATTGAACCCGTGTCCCCTGCATTGGCAGGCAGACTCTTAACCACTGTGCCACCAGGGAAGTCCCATAGCAGCATTATTTTTAATAGCAAAGTACTGGAAACTTCTCAGATGTCTTTCAGTGGATTGAACAAACCCTGGTACATCCATTGAATGGAACGCTATTTGGCAGTCACAATGAATGAACTATTGATGCGTACAATAACTTGGATGGATCTCAGAGGCATTATGCTGAGTGAAAGAAGCCATTCTCAAAAAGTTGTATGATTCCATTTATATGACACTCTGGAAAAGGCAGAAACTAGAGATGTAGAGCAGGTCAGTGGTTGCCAAGGGTGAGGGGTGAAGGGAGGGAGTGATACAAAGTTGTAGTGTGAGGAAGTGTTTTGGGGGTGATGGAATTGTTCTGTGTCCTGTGGTGAAGCTGTGTCATGAATCTATACATGCGTTAAAATGCATAGAACTGGCGAATTCCCTGGCGGTCCAGTGGTTTGGACTCAGTGCTTTCACTGCCCTGGCCTGAGTTCAATCCCTGGTCGGAAAACTAAGATCCCACAAGACGAGAAAAAAAAAAAAGCATAGAACTGTGCAGCAACAAAAAAATTGCTGTGTGTTCATTTGAAAATAAAATGCAGTTTTGACTTCTGTCTCTTCTTGGTTCTCCCCGCCCTACAGACCTGTCCAGCTTTCCCTCTCCTCATTGGCACACTGTCTTGCTGCCAGGCCAGCTTGCAAGCTGAGCCTCCTGCTTACAAACCCTCTTCGTTAGCACCCAGCCCCTTCCCACACCATGCTTCCCCTTAGGTCTGCTTCCCCTTCAAGGAGAGGCCATTCTGGAAACCCTCCCTGAGCTGGCCCCCTGCCTGGGCCAGATGCTTGCTCTCTGCCACTGGGCTCAGCCCCTCATGAGCATGCACAGTGGTGTGCTGGTTAGTGTGAGCAGGAGTTCCCGGAGCCTCAGATTCCCTGTTGGTCAGTCCACCAGAGGCTTTGACTGTGTGCCTCCCAACGTCCTTCCAATTCAAAGATTTCTAGGTCAGTGGGAGCCACCTTTCCTGGGTTCAAACCATGGCTTAGTAACTGTGTAACCTTGGGTGAGGTGCTTGCTGTCTGTTGCCTCTTTCTCTCCTCTGTAAAGCAGGCTTAATCATAGAACCACCTCTTAGAGGTGCTGTGAGGACTATCTTAGACAGTGCATGAAACGAACTTAGCACATGACTTGTCAAATGCTCAAGAAAAGTCAGCAGTAGTTATTGATAATAGTCACCTTGGCAACTTTAAAATAATACAGATTCCCAGGTCCCCCTGCAGGGATAAATCTGAATGAATGAGAGCACTGGGGACGGGGCGGGGGGTGGGGAGCGGGGAGCGGGCACCTGCATTAAAAAAAAAATCTTCCTGGATAGGATTGCCAGATTTAGCAAATAAAAGGTCAGGTCACCAACTTTCATTTGTACTTCAAACATACAGATGTTTTAGTGTAAATGTGTCCCATGCAATAGTTGGGACATACTTACACTGAAATTTGTTTATTGTAATTCAGTGTAAAGGGCGACCTACATTTCATCTACCTGCATTTAGCCGCATCCTGCGGGACTTTGATGCTCAGCCCACTTGGGTGGGTGTGGTCCAAAGTGGAACTTCTCAGTCAGAAAATAGAGAGTATCCTTTCACTTGACACAGGGGGGAGCTAGAGGGTAGTTTGTTTGCT